CACTTCCTACAGCATCTATGTAGTTCGTTGACAAGTTGAATCTTGTCTTTGGAAGTCATGACGACTGATGGTGAAGATGTGTGAACCCCGCTCTTTTATTATGGTTATGCTTGAACTACGTTTTGTATCTTGTTGATTTCCTTGATAGTAGATTGTACCTTCGAATTTATTTCGGTGATTTGTTTGGAGATGTCACCTTGAAATTTGGTTAGTTTTTCATTTACTTGGGTCATTTCTTTTTGGTGTTGCTTAGCTAGCTGATATATAAATGAAGCAAGTTCTTTATCGGTTCCATCCACATACTTTTTTATAAGCAACAACAACATCGTAGCTAGCAATATTTTGAGACGTTCGCATAGCTCGTTGGGATCGTCCCAATAAATGTATTCAATGGGTTTCGTATTGAATGTCATTGCAAGAGGTGACGTTTTAGGTAGACATGATGTCATCGCAGTACTGCCCTGCTAAGCGAAAGTGCCGTATGTACAAAACAGCCATTTTGAGATATGCGACTATTTGCATTTAACTTTGACCAAGAGAATTTACGGTCAATTGCGCAATGATACACGTGTTTCTTGACTAACTTGGACATTACTTACTTTCCACAATAGTAATTTTTCAATTTCTCCCCGTTTTTCCGCTAGAAAAAACATATGCTGCAGAAATTGTGTAATCATCACAAACGAAAAATGCAGTATATACACGCACATACTGCTTTATTATCGGGCAGTCTTCACATACTGCATTCATGCGTAGTAACTAGCTGAATAGTATGAAAGAGAAACTACATTGCAAATCTTTTTTATATTGCTCCATTGAGATATTAATTAACATTATCATTGTAATTTATCATGAATTCTTAATTTCTTGAAGGCAAGGGGGGCCTGATTTCCAACTCTTCCTAAAATCGTTTCCTATTAATTGGAATAACACTATTGAGATTCTTGAGAATACTTTCGCGTTTCTCTATTGACACTCCACATGGTGATGATAAAGGGGATGGTGCGGGCATTCCATTGTTTTTCATGTTCTTTTTACACAGAAAATCCAGTGTCATATAATCATCTTTCGCCAACTCTGTTTTACATTTCAGATAATAAATTCCCCTCACTGCTTTTATATGGACGATGTCTGCTAAGTATAATCTGTTTTCTGCCTTTTGAATTTTTTGTTGCGACTTGAAATCCTTCCAGAGAAAAAAGTCTGTGTGTTTAATTTCTTTCCACCTGATGGTGAAAGCTATCAGCCGACATGAATGTGTGACCGGGCACAAAGTACTGTATATCAATTTC